TTGTTTTACTTGATTGTGTACAAAATCATGATACATGATATTTAATTTCAGATGCGATTAAATCAAGCTCGCCTATTCTGGAGTGAAATATTGAATTGTTCCGAGATATAGTTTTAATATTATTCTCCATATTATTGCTCATGCATTGACATAATTTTTGTTTTTTACAACGTTTTTGGCAAAATACGAATTTTTGAACGTCAAATGGAATTATTGTTCGTGATGGCCGTCTTTGAGTTGTATTCGTCAGAAGAACACCAGGACTAGTTTTCGCGTATTTTGCTTTGTAGGAAGGATCGTCAACTCAACTTCGCTTATCGGAACTGGTACTGCTTTTAATATCATTTAAAATCTATACAAAAAAATCAAATATTTAAATAGAAGCAACATAATATTATCAAACTTTTTTACCCTAAAATTTATATTATACAGTGTCCCCCATAATGTTCGCTACGTATGGGGAAATTTTTTATTCATAGGATATGGAATTTTTTCCTATGTGCGATCGATTCTGCTTTGGACAAACCAAACGTAAACTTAAAGATAGGACGAGCGAACATAGGAACTCTTGTGCAGCAGAAAAACGGGAACAAACAGCTTTAGCTAGTCACTATTTTCAAAACGACCATAATTTTGACTTTGATAACGTTCAGACTATAGTAAACGTTTATTTAGTGAAATGTTATTCATTCAATTACATGAAACGGCAGTCAACAAAAGAACAGACATTGAAAATCTTAGTGACATTTACTATAATATAATAGCCAGAAATATACGTCTTAAATCCAAATAATTTTATTTCAAAACTATAAAATATTACTCCTGAATGTTTAAAGTTTTTTTCTTTCATAAAACCAATTGATCAGCCTGCAGGTGTCGTTTCTTTTTCTTTTCAGTGATTGAAGGTATTCCAAGCCGTCAATAGTACACTACCTACTGTTTCTTTTTGTTCGAGAGCCTTTTAATTGTTTTTTCTGTTTTACTATGGTACACCATGGTTTTAGCAAATTTGAAATTCCTCACCAGGTGAGTGCTCGCTTATTTAGTTTTAGTAAATTTGATTGGTTAATTTTTTCCAATTTTTTCAAATGTAAATTGTAATTATTTTTAATGTTAATGACTTTATGATATATTTTTTTTTTGTGTGTAAATGTATGTTTTGTCTGTATCTTGATTAATTTGCGTTGTATGATTGTTTAATTGATGGTGTTTATGACTGCAATTGTGATTTTGATTTTTGTTTTTTGTTGTAGTCCTGATGAAGCGTTTGAATAAACGTGAAACATCGACAGAGTGAGATATTCTTTCATTCTTTTATTGTATTTTCTGTCCTATTAACCGACGATTCCAACCACTAATTATTACACACTTTTTATTCATGAAATAGTTCAAGTAGCTCAATATTTGATGCGTATTGATAAAACAAATTTAAATTCTACATTGGAATGACTCCTAGAGAATTAAATAAAAATATTCGACTATACAGGGTGTATCAGGTTTGACTACAAAAATTTTAACACGTGAAAATATGGCCGATTTTGAACAGAAAAAGTTTATACAACATGGGGTCCAAAGTCAACCATTTTTGAGAAAAAGGCCTTTGAAGTTTTGACATTTTTCAACGAATATTTTAAAGGTAAAGAAAATTTGAATCATTATGAGATGTAGAAAAATTCAGTTAATCCAATTATTAAGTAATTATGCATTTTTAGTCAACAACAATAACAAAAAATTGAAAAAACGACTTACAAATTTCGCTTGTAAAAGGGTATCTAAACATTTGGCAACTCAGCACAATAAAGAATAGGTGGTTGAAGGTTGAACCTGTGTAGCGCACTGTCCTCGTGTAGCTGAATAAATTGATTCTTGATTTTCTAGTTGGGAAACACGCGTAATTCAAATTCATTGTTTTTTGAAAATAAAATGTTTAGAAACATCGAATATGCAGATATTTGTTTAGGCAGAAACGTTGCAAAATGCTCATTTAGCCGCCAGAATTTACAAGGAAACTAGGGAGAGATGTCCCAAAAGAAAAGCACCCACCTGATGAAAGAACATTATGCCCGTTTTAAAAAGATTGCGTGACACAGGAAGTACGTTTTATGAGTGTGCAAAATCTACGTGTTGATTTTAGTGTTTTGAGAACCTTATAACAAAAATTAATATTTTCATATTAAGGATTTGACAAGTAGCTGAGTAAGTATTATTTGATTTTTCTCTTGAATGTTTAGTGCAAAAATGTAATTGAGTGCAATTCACAACTTAATAAAACGGCACATTTTTTATTTTTACTAGAAAAGTGATGAAAATGCAAGTTATTATTTACATTATTTGAAAGCCAATAGCAAACCAAAACGTAAACAGATGGAAATAAATAAACTCCGTGCAAAAAAAAGTTTTTAAATTTACCAGTTTTACCACAATTGACCCATGGTTAATAGGACAGTTTTAGCTTGAAATGGGCCATATTATCTCCTATTGAAATATTTGTAGTCATACCTCATACACCCTGTAGTGTATTTTTTAGTAAGCTGGTATAATCAATCATACTCGACCAATTTTAATCCCCTAAATCCTTTGAAGAGTGAATGAACCACCAGCAATAAACGATGAGGTGACAGTTTGATTATACCAGCTTTCAAAAAAATAGACGAAACTTTTCTGTAGCAATACCCTGTATCTTGACAGTTTCTGAGATTTCCAATAACTTAATATTAATACAGCAATTGAAAATATTCGTTATATTGAGATTTTTTATTAAATATTTCAATTCAGTTATAAAACACCTTACTTAACTGTCCAGATACAGAGTATTGCTACAGAAAAGTTTCATGTGCTAATCAATAATTTTTACTTAAATCTCTAGGAATGATTCCAAAGAAGAATTTAAGTTTGTTTTAGCAATACACATTAAATATTAAGGTACTTGGACTATTTCAATAATAAAAATTGTATAATATTAGTTGATAAGAGATCCATGGCGAAAAACAAGTAATTTTCTGTTTTTTGTTGGTTTTCCTTCAAATTTCGCAGGCAGCCCTAAAACATCGTTCTAATCACTTTTTTCAAATAACTTTTTCCGAAATTCTGCCATCTTACTCCACTTTTCGCGTTTCCATATCTAGATTTTCGAATTTGCCGCCACAAAAGTGATCACGTGACCAATGTTAAAATGTACTTTTAGGTTATTGGATATGCAGGATCGATCGCACATAAGAAAAAATTCCATATCCTACATCTAAAAAAATTCCCCATATGTAGCGAACATTATGGGGGCCACTGTATTAATCCAAAGCCACACAAACTATTAGTGAAACATACAAAAAAGCGAGCAAAAAAGCAATCCAGGGTTAAAAACTAGTCAACTTAACACACTCAAACAGAACTATTAATAATTGGTATAAGACACTTCAAAATCGCTACATTCCATGTCCATATTCACATGACTTCACAATTTGCTAAGTTTAAAAAAAGAAACAATCCATCAGGATTAGGCGATTCTCAGAATACCAATGTATTCCCTGATGACGTTCATAGAAGGTGGTTTTCTCATAAACCAAATGGTTTTCAACCAACGACGAGGTGAACGATTACATAAAAATGAGTTTTCAGGACAAGCGTCTTAAAAAAATAAATAGTTTCTAATAAAAATATTGAAATCTGATTTCGGCAGTTTAATGGCCGTATGTGTTAGATGTAAAAATCGTAAAAATATTTTTTTGACATTTTTTACAAAATTCAACCCAACTACCCCGGCACCGTACGATTTTTGGACGACCTGTTGAATTTGCATTCAGGGTATTAGAAATAATGAAAAGTAGTCTTTACATTTCAGCAATGAAGTGCAAACAAAAATCTGTTTCGAGTGACTTCTGCTTGCTTCTGCGAGCATTCAAATTCTACCTACTAATATTTACTAATTTCATTTTTTGATAATGCAAGCAATTTAAAATATTTATGAAGTGCCCATCATTTACTGGGTTTTTAAACACACAATTGGTAAGTGCTTATATTTATAAATTAATTGAAACACACCATGTATAAGTAACCTAAAAAATGGGCTGTTCTTTAGTTTAATAAGCAATTATAAATCTGGTAAGAAATAATAATAATCGAGGCTATTCTACTTAATAAGCCATCAAGTTTTTTTTTATCGCAACATATACCGGGTGGGCCAGCGAAAACGAAACAAGGTCGATATCTCGTATTGATCGTTCATTGAAAAAAATCGCTCGGACCTGTCGACTAAATACATTCTAATTTTAAATATTTTTTGAAAAAAAAAACTTAGTAAATTCAAAAAACTAGGCACCGTTGAAAAGAGAATTCGATTACCTTTGAAATGAGGTATCGCTCGACCCCTACTGCCATTTAAGATTTAGGGGTTGGCGCTTACCCCCGCGAAAGGGTTGAAGTGACAACATTGAAAATATGTGCGAAAGATTTCCCCCTCCGAATAAAAAATCGACGGCGGGAAGTTACTTCTAATATTTACTACCTACTTCCTATCGGCTTTGTACGAAAATTCCTTTGCCCATAAAGTATTAAACTTGTCTCTATGTAAATAAGTATAATAATACCTAATGGAAGGTTGCATTCAAACCGATCTGAATGGCACCCATTTGCCTAGTCTTCTATTGCTGCGGTAATACTAAACTATGATATTGAAATGATTATCATCCCTGAGATACTTACTAATGAAATAAAAGCCGCAATTTAAAAATAATGTCAACACGCAGAATTAAATATCGAGTAGTCGAGTTGGCGCCGTTTTGCTTGCATTACATACCGAATGCGTCAAAAAAAGTTTTAGATCATTTTGCGTTTTACTCTGGATAAGGGTATGAATGGTAAGATATACAGGGTTGGGACACCCTATAAGCCCCGTCGCGGCGCCGTGGATATTACGGGTAAACATCCGTGGGATTTTCCACATTTTCCTTTTATAGGCGCTTGCGTGAAATGCCATTTTCGTGATGTCGATTTTCACCCCAGTCAGTCGGCGCACGACAAACAATTGAACCAAAATGTGAGAGAATTTTTTTTCAACTGTTCGCGTTTTTTTACTAAATTTTTCACGTGAAAATGGGTAGAAAAAATAAATGCAAACCGCGGATGATTCCCCAACAGGATAAAAGGATCTGCGGATGTATTTGTTTTTGTCAGTTAGTAGTCGTTTTGAGTTGTGTGTCGTTAATTTATCTAACCGTAGCTATTTATATGCCTTCATACCGGGCATTTAAGAGCGGTTTTGAAGAAAAACCTATTATGTGCCAAACTATTAACACTAGCATGATAAATAATTGTAGCTGGGCGTCATGTGGAGAATGGTGTCTTACTAGAACATCAGGATTTTGCCCCCAAATTCATGCAACAGCGCGACAAAACGGTTCCATCGTTACTTTTCTAAATTGTACGTCTTTCAATAGTTCTACCTGCCCTCCAATTAATTGGAACTCCCTTAAAAGATATAATTGTAACAACGGTACTGAATGTGCAATTCTAAAAGGAATATTTAACTGTTCCCTAGGGCATTGCTCAAATCTATCACAAATCTACGATTTTGATGATTGTCATTTTAAAGCTGACGGATTTACAGTAGATAGTGATAAAGATAATGCAAAACTCAATGGCAACTTTCTATGCAAAGGATCTAAATGCGTTAAAATCAAAAAACCATTCAGTTGCGATCGCATTTGCAAGGATAAAATTAGTACCGAATTGAAAAATGTTTTTATAACAGTCGGAGATAGTATTCATCAAGCTTATTGTGATTCTGCAATCGCTTCCACTAAGGCAAATGGGAAATTAGACGGTGAGGATATTGAACCTACGCAATTTTGGAGCAAACAACCCGATGAGGTTATGATGGTATCTTGTCATAATGTAAATTATGACAAAAAAAATTCTACAATAGAGTAAGTATCAGATACATACTTATTTATTGCAAAAAATATACCTACTTCCTATACCTAGGAATCTCATACTCAATATCTATACAGGATGTTCCGAAATTAATGCATGAAATTTTTATGGCAAATTTTACTTCGAAAATAAGCCCTAGTTTCTTACATAAACATATGTTCGGAAACGCTCCCTTTCCGAGATACAGGGTGTTGAAATTCTAAGAAAAAAAACTATTTTTTATCATAATTTTCAAACCACTCTAAATATTTCATTGACATTTTATGCACTGCTTTCGAGCAATAGGCATTTTTGATGTGAAATATTTCAAAAAAAATTACCAGCGACGTCACAAAAATAATTTGAAACTTTGAGTGTTTAATGCTAACATTTGTATCATAATTTTGGCGATTTCGCCATGCATCAAAATGGCTTTCTATTTTTTTACTTGGAAACGGTGCATCTTTTGGAAAAAAGTGAAGAGATCAAACTTGTTCCAAATTGAATGGGGATTTCAAAAATTATTTTTATTTTAGGAAAAAGCAGTGGCGCACCATTTTTTTCTTGAAAAATATTCCATACAAATCTGGTACGGACGTCACGGGTAATTTTTTAGAAACATAAATTCAATCAGAAAATGTCTTTTGCTGCTTGAAAGTAGTTTACAAGGTTTTAATGAAATATCCAAAGTGGTTTGAAAATTATGGTAAAAGAATAGTTTTTTTCTTAAAATTTCAACACCCTGTGTCACGGAAAGGAAGCGTTTCCGGACATATGTTTATATAGGAAGCTAGGGCTCATTTTCGACGTAGAATATGCCATAAAAATTTGGTGCATTAATTTTGGAACACCCAATATATATATTTGTATATATATATATATATATATATATAGTATATTTGTTATATTCTTGAGTAAACCAATGCAGATGTTATCTCTGGTTTATATTACAGTGACTCTATTAATACTCTTATAACAGTGGCGACAATGGGGAGTTAGCTCCGCCCACCCGCCATGTTGCAAACTTTAATATTTGCGACATAGCTGTAATATGGTGTTAAAAAGAAATTAATTTGATGAAACTTGTATAGAGGCACTGTAGGTTGATGGTAAAACTGTTGCTGTCCTTTTCTATTTGCCTGTGTTAAACAAAGAGGCAGCTAATTGGTTTGCTCGCTGCGCAATAAACAACGTAGGAGTCCAATTCCTCCTTTTCGTGTTTATAAGCCATTGTTTCCTTCTTTCCGGATTCCGTGAAAAGCGTTTCATCAAGAATCCCTTTTTTTTCAGAATTGCTGCAACGGCAGCACAACCTGGCATTGTTTTCGTATCCTAACGACCTAACCTAAAATTACAATATTGAAAATCCTTTAAATACCTTTAATTGTAGACTCCAGTACACATAAAACTATGGATTCTCACAGATTTTAAACTATTTTTTCATTCAATATTTGGAAATTCGTTTGACAATTTAGAAATAATGTTAATAATATTAGGTACTCACCCCCAAAACAAAGTTTTTGAATCTGAACAAAATTGAGACGCCAACTGGAAATATCGCACAGATTAATGTTTAATATACAAAAGTTTCTATTGTATCTATGTATAATGAGCAATAATAACTACCAGAATCCAATTAATAAATTAGAAAATCACAAAATTCACAAAATAACAGCGATATTCTCATGAAAACAATGTAAACAAGAACGTTTTTGCAAGAAGATGGCGGCAAATACACGAACCAATCAAAAATTGGTCCCTCAATTGTCACCACTGTCTTGTATAGAGGCACTGTAGTTTATATTATATTGGACTTATTCCGAAAATAAGTTGAATGTCAACGTCAGGTCAATATTAGTTACACTAACCGTACATATAAGCTCTTGACAGCTTTTAGGCTGTGACTTGAATTTTGATAAAATATAACGTCGCAAGTAGTTAAAATGTAGTCGGAAGTCGATAAAATGTTTTCTGGAACGTAAATGTAATCACCCTATAGATTAATTTCAATTAAACAAGTGTCAGGTGGCAAAACTGTCGATTAGATGCTAACGAATGTAAAAAAAAAAAAAAAAATCTTTTAATTATTTTGTACAATTCTTACCCAGTGAAGTAGATACTATTTTGTTGTTCTTGGGTATATGCGGACCAATAAAACCAAATGGCTTTGTTTTTTTGGCCGATTCTATTAGTCCAGATATACCACCCAAGAACAACAAAATAATAAAAATTTTGGTATAACTACATCAAATATAAACAAATTGTAAATCCATACAACAGGTCTGGGGTAAATTTGCCAGATACTTAAACAAATTTCTAGTTAACCAGATGGAACAAAATAACTTTGAGATTGAAACCGTCCCCTAGGATCATTTTCATATCCATGTTTCAAAGTAGCATTTGGGTATAAAAAAAGTGATGTTTGAAGAAGTTTAAATTTCAAAATCTTCAAAGGTATTATTCCTTGCAACCATAATAACGTAAAAACGTAAAGGGTGAAAATGTTGGTAGATTTTAAATTTTCAACTGATAAAATACTTTATGTCAATTAGAAAAAAATATATTCTTTCAGAGGCACCGATTGCATCAACGGGACCATATTCAATTACGAAGCTATCCCCCGCTCACGCGGATCATTCAAACAATTTTGGAATTTAACAGGGAGACATAACCACGTAGTCGATCCAAAAAATGAATTCGTTCCATCTCAGGCGTCATTGACGATTTACAACCACTCCAGGCTCTACATAAATCTAGATGGTTGTGTTAACACTTTAAGGGGAGAATGTTTCAATTTTATGCTATCCCATGGACGAGATGGCAAGAATCGGACTGCGGCTAGTAGATATATCTGTTACTACAATAAGGTAAACTATTTAGTTGATAAGGTGTTTTCATTCGGGCTTAATGGCCGTCTTAAGTTGGAATTTCTTCCTAACGTTTCGCTAGCACGCGTGGCTAGCATCTTCAGAGGTACTTCCATGTCCGATTCTGGTAGCAGACTGCTATTTTACCAGAATTGTCGTCGATAAACCATTTCCTCTTGTACTGACTCCAATGTTTTATTGTAAAACCTACTTAACTATACATTATTTTTCAGAATAATTCATTCATGGTTGTTGCTCGTCACGATTTGAAAAAGACATGGAGAGATCTAATAATAGCTGTGAGTATACCTTCGCTACTTTTTGCAGTATCATTTATCACTCTTTGTGCCATAATGCAATCAGTAAGAGTTGATGATGATACCAAAATGAGATGCAAATACTGCTTTGGTAGTTCAAGGAACGATAATAACGATCTGACGGAAATGATTAATAGATATGAAATTTCTTCCCCTGAATCTGATGGGCCAAGTTTTCATCGAAGGAATCAAGAAGCATAAATTTATTTTCAGACAACTATATTTCTTTCTTTCAAGAAAGTTATTTTCGTGAAAAAGTCTCACAAGTTTTGGATGAACTAACCGTAAAAGAATTTATTTTTTTAAGCTCAAACAAGGAATATCTTTAACTTTTATACTTTTCAATTGCACAACTTTACAATGATTATGGTTAACTGTGTGTAGAAAAAATTTAATATTTTTATATTGTCTTTCTACTATATTCTTAAAAATTATTTTGATTAATTGCCAAGAAATTTTCGGTCGATAATGGCAGCTAACCCATATAATGGATTTTATTTGCGACATGCTGACAGGCAGCTTTCACAGAATAGTTTAGCAAACATACCGAGCAATAGTCCGAGAGCCGCCATGCACTCCCTTGATTGACTCAACTCAATGTTCTTGTCGTCTAAGCTTGGGGCCATCTTAGTTTTTTCATCAATGATAAAAGATTTATTATTTTTATTCCTCAAAAACTAAATTTGATTTTCGAAATTATTTGATAGTTCATACAGTGTGCGCCATAAAGTGGGTACATATGGGAAAATTCTTAATTATTCCTTTTTTCAAAAATTTTTTTTTGGGGATCGTTAGGGCATGTTCGATAACCAAAAAATCGATTATGACACATGTCATGTTATTTTTCTGATGACCAGAAAATGTGCAAAAAGGGACATGGGTACAGTTATAGCGACACGACCGGACGGTATTTTCTAATTTATGATCTCGAAGTGTGTATTCCGCAAAACATTCGATTCGTTTGATGTCAAACTTATGAAGTTTAGTTGAATAAAGCTATTTTTGAAATAAAATTAATATTTTCGTTTTCCATTTAACGGTATGGGTAAAATAAGTAGTTTTATTTATTTTCTCTGATTTGCTTTAAAATCGGCATGTGGAGTTCTTTTTGGATTCTGAACAACTTTTTCTTATAAAATTTTTTGATATCTTGCCAAATTTACCCGTTTTTCGACATCAATATCAACTTTTTTCAAAATTTTCGCTAAACCGATAATCGCATGACATGTGTCATAATCGATTTTTTGGTTATCGAACATGCCCTAACGATCCCCAAAAAAAGTTTTTTCAAAAAAGGAATAATTAGGAATTTTTCCATATGTACCCAACTTTATGGCGCACACTGTATTACATAATTAGTGTTGTAACAAGCAAATTGCGCACGAATGGAAAGGTTGCACAAGTAGGCAATAAGGGACGAGTTCGGCATTGCTTTACCAAATTATGCACTATACTTTACCTGCGATCACACTTGATGCGAATTTCATAATTCTAATGTCCAGTATTGTCTACTCTCTGTTCACCGCTTGCTCACGTGTAGTAAGGCTGTGGCAACATAACCAATAAAAATTAGAGGTTAATTGCTGATCGTGGGTTTTCGCTGAACCGTGACTCAAACCCGGGGTCTGTAGCATCCGATGCGAATACTACCCAGTATAGTCCGCAGCATTGAATATCAAGGACCGAAGTAATGCGACAAGTTTGAGAACAATGCGTAGAATGGTTCGTGCCGCCTTGTGCTTGAACAAACAGAACTCCTCAGCATTATTTGTTGTTTTTGCCTAGTCAACAGGCTATTTAGTATTTGTCAGTTATTTTAGTAAGTTTGCTAGGTTCTTAAATTCTGTCGCTACTAGTTTTTATTGCATTTGTTACCTAGGCAAGGATAATTTTGACATTAAGATTTCGACATCTCTGGGGTCAAATTCAGTAAATTTTAGAAAACTTTGATGAGATGATACCTACCTGTTTCAACTTGTCGAGACACTATTGTGTGATGGAACTACTGAATACACCAGCTTTTTTCATTGAATCAACATTACTGTCGGGTTATTTTGCAACTTTACATAATTTAGTACAATTTATACAAACTAAATGAACAACATTTTTAAGGAAACCGCAGGACAAAACTGAAGACTGACGCCACTGACGGTGGCTTTTATGACTTAGATACATTGATATATCATGGGTAGGTACGCTGCCTGGAATTAAACTAATATAGATAGAAGGCAGTGCGATTTTTAGTATTCACAGTAGTGGTCGTAGGTGAAGTTCATCACAACATTCTGAATAATGTATTTATAAACCCGGATACATTATATTTAAATCTGATCTATTTTTCATGTCTCTGTGTACCGTCTTGGACCTATAGCAGATGAAACATGTATCAGAAATACACATAAAGCCTAATTTATGTTAATAAAACATATAGGGTCATTGGTAATTTGATACATTTCTGTGAAGGAGTAATAGTATTTTCCGATATTTTGAAACCTATTGTCTATTATCCATAAGTGGGTAAACTAGTTTCTGAGATATTTTAATTTGTTATTAGATGTTTTTTTCTCAAACAAGATCTTTGTGTTTGAAAATGTCTACTAAAAAATTTTACTAGACATCTTTACATTTTCAATGGATCACTTGGCCAAAGGCATAGACGTGCATTTGGAATGAAGGATATCCGGATACATTTCGAACATATAAATAGGTATGTCAAATAAGAAATCATTTTTCACAATCAGCTATGTATGAAGATTATCTATGCATCAGTTTTCTTCGAAAAACGATTAGGTTCCTTAGCCCTTGTTTAACGAAAGCTATCTAACAAATTACTAATGTACAATGTATCTTTGAGTTATGGTCCACTGATAAACAATTCTATTTCTCAGGAAATTCTTCTCGACTAGTTTTTTATCTCCTTAGGAAGCTTTTCTATGAATTTTCACTTAGTTGCTAATTAGAACTTGAAGTCAATAGAGAAATACTTCCAGCATAGGGAGTGTTGATTATTAAGTCCCCCCTAAGTTTCCTGTGGTCTAACGTTTTGAGATTCAGTTTCAGTTTGCACCTCTCAATATCAGATTAATCTCTCAGCACTCCAAGAACTTAATTTATTTTTCTACATCATTTGAGCATGCTCCAGTATACCTCTACATTTTCAGAACCGTCTGCGCACTGGTGTTACTAAAAGCAAGGTAATCTATGTGAAGTATATGATTGTATAATTTTCATTCTTGGCTTGGTTTGCCGAGACTGTTAATTTTAAATTTGTTTTTTTTTTGCTCTGTGTCTAGCATAATACTAACTCCAAGTACTTCGTATTTGCCCGCAGCAAAAACCTGTCAGGATTCCGAGCCGGTCTCGATAGTCTCAGGGGCATTCTGTATTCCTATTGTTTCAAATATAAACGGTGTCAGTCGTTATATTCATGGTCAAGTCTCTTACGCATACAAAGCATATAGAACTGGTCCAAGCACAGAACCCTAACGAACTACTCTCAGAGTTCTGTGACTGGAGGAGTGTCCACTATTCCCTATAGATTCTGTTTTGTTTTTGTAGAAGTAAGTAAGTAAGTAAGTAAGTAAGCTTGTTGTTGAAACATCATCTCACAATATAGTGGTCCAACTTGTACAGCAATCTGCCCAATTAAAAGTATTTTTGTGGTCCAGGTAAATGATAATGTTCGTTAGTCCATTGAAATTCCTCCATCGTGATATTTGGTCATGGATTGATTCTTGTAGATTTGGTATGGCGAAACTCGAGTTCGAGACAAATTGATTATCCAGTCAGAATGGCAATCAACCATTGCACAATAATTTGTTCCTTATCATCTTATAGTAATAGTGGAAGATCCGAATAGGAAAGGATCTGCACCCATCTGTTTATTGGGTGAAAATTATTTTATATCAAAGTTAGTATGTTAAAAAATATATCAGTTGTGGGTTGGCTAAAAAATTCCTGGCCAAACTATTATTAATAAATAATTCAAAAATTATAATTGTCAAAGGCATTGCACTCATTTGTTTAACGAACAAATTTGATACTAATCGAAAGTATAGGGCCTAAAGAATATAGAAACGTTGGGGTGTCTATTTTTTTCCTGGCATAACTATTGGGTTGACAGGTTTGAACAGGTGAGTCGATACTAGTAATTTACACCCATCTGTTTAATGTATAAATCATACACCACTCTGTCGCATATTTCCATCCGCACCAAAATTTCGCTTTTCAAAGCTCGCCAACCGTCATTCAGGCCAGATTTTTCGTAGACAACCCTATATCATCGTGTTCGCAATAAAATAACTTTTTTTTGATATAAGATTTATTCATTAAACAGATGGGTGTGAATTACTAGTATCGACTCACCTGTTCAAACCTGCCAACCCGATAGTTATGCCAGGAAAAAAATAGACAATCCAACGTTTTTATATTCTTTAGGCCCTATACTTTCGATTAGTATGGAATTTGTTCGTTAAACAAATGAGTGCAATGCCTTTAACAATTATAATTTTTGAATTATTTATTAATAATAGTCTGGCCAGGAATTTTTTCGCCAACCCACACCTGATAATTTTTTTAACATACTAACTTTGATATAAAATAATTTTTACCCAATAAACAGATGGGTGCAAATCCTTTCCTATTCGGATCTTAGACTATAAGACCAATTGTTGTTTTCTTCTCGTTATATGCCCTTCCTCTTTTTTTTTATACTTATGTTTGTACCCTGTTTCGAATGATTCCAATATTGTTTTCATCAAAGGTATTAGTTTTAGAGGGAATTTTCGGACATAGGTACCTATTGTTTTAACGTTTGAAGCTGAATATAATTATTTTCTTCATTTCTGACATTGACTGGCGTTAGATGTCATATCTCTCGCATATTATGTCGCCAGAGGCTAGTGATCTAGACGCGGTAAATCTAAACTTGTCACTGACGAAAAGCCTGCCCTTCCCATCCAACGGTTAGGGAAACGTTGATCCAGTTTACTTGTCGTAGGTAGGTACTGTCCAACCAGTAATGTGCTGGAAAACCGTCGTGCTGAAATATCATTCGCTATTTGATGATCCGAGGAACATCTAGTAACGTCGGCTAGTTTTAAAATATTTCAGAGATCTTTCCGTTTAAATTTTGGGGAAGTTATTTTTATCTACACATTTTCAGAAAACTCCTTCCGAAACAACTTAGCGGTATTACGTGGGGTTTTCTTTGAAATAATAATGTAAGTTGCGAAATTGTTTTATGTTGCACATTGTGAGAGCTATTGAAGCAGGTGAGTAAATAATTTATTAAAAAAAATAGAATGCCTATCTGTCCATCTTAGCTATTGATTTTGTAAACAAAACAAAAA